ATCATCATCATCATCATCATCATCATCATCATCATCATCATCATCATCATGGAAGCTAGATGGCACAGTGAATAGAGCGCTGGGCGTGGAGTCAGGAAGACCTGAGTTCAAATCTGGCCTCAGACTCTTACTAACTTTGTGATCCTGGGCTAGCCACTTAACACTGTTTGACTCAGTTGCTTTGTCTGTAAAATGAGCTGGAAAAGAAAATGGCAAACCACTTTCATATCTTTGCCAAGAAAACCCCAAATAGGGTCACAAAGAGTCAGACGTGATTGAAACAACTGAACATTATTTTTAATATTATTATTGTTATTATGTAAAATAAGTGACCAAGACAGTCGGGTCCAGGGCCCTATTCCTTGGGCCTAATTGTGCTATCAAATATGGGGACTACAAAAGCATTAAATGACACTAATGCACAATTAGGCAACTGGATGGTGAAAACCTTTTTTCACTAAAAATGTGACTGTTCAGGCCTCCATGATGCTTCTCCTATGGCTGTTTCTTTTGAGTATGTTTCCCTTTCTACAGAGTAGGCCCATAGCACCCAAAATTTTAGGTAATTGAACAACCTACACTATCACATAGATGAGAAAGGCAGTTTGGTGTCGTGATATCCTTCCTGTGTCTGTCTTGTTTTTCCATAGCTATGTTTTCTCCCCTGTTAGCCTATGAGCTCTCTGAGGGTAGGGACAACCATTTTTGCCTTTCTTTGTGTATCATACCCAGGACTTAACACAATAATTGATGCATAGTAGATGCTTAATAAATGCTGTGGACTAAATGAGAAGGTTGTGTAGTAATGATGAGATAATGTTTGCAATGGAAGAGAGAGGGTGAAATTTGGGGATTTCAGAGAGCCTGGCTTAAAGACCTGGCCAGCTCTTTCACAAAATAGTTTTGTGAGTGTGCCTCAGTGGAGAGGACATTTGATTTGGGGTCAGAGAACCTGGTTTTGAGTCTTAGCTCTGCTCTTGACTATCTCTTTGTCTGTGGGAGAGTCACTTCATTTCTCTGGGTCTCAAATTCTTTTTCTGTGAAAATGAAGGATTAGACCAGGGTCTAGGGGTATGCTGCTAAATGTGTACCAACTTACTCTTCAAAGTTCAGGACATACTTTTCAGTTTAATCTAAATTATTAGCATTTTTTATCACTTTCCTAAGTCCAGACAATTAAGCAAACAAATCAAGCCCTGAGGATGTCTCTCAATGACCTGTAGGAGCTGTCCAGCACACTACGGCCTATAAAGGTTCCTTCTAGCTCTAAGGCCCCCCATGGTTTTCACCTGTAAGATGGAGGAAGGATAGATGAACTCTAAGGTCTCTTTTAACTCTGGCATTTAGGCTAACTCCCAAATATCAAATGAAATAACACACAGCACTTTGAAACGTTAAAACGTTGTGAAAAAGCTATTATTATCATTAATCATGAACATTAATGATTACTCACAAATCACAAAGGGTAAACAGCAACTGATTCTTTATAGTCAACTGAGATATCACATCTGCCTGCATTTTAATCCAACAAATTTTTATCAAACATCAGAAGCACTGTGTTAGGCTTTTATGGAAATATAAAGATAACTAAGAAACAGGAATTATTCTCAGGAAAGTTATGATGTTGTATTAAAATGAGCAACTAGCATAAATTAGAAGGTACATGTGCCATTAAAGAGATATGCAAAAATATGCAGGGATTCAGAGAAAGGAGAAATCACATTATCAGTTTGAAAGGGGATATTATGAAAGAGGTAGTATTTGGGCTTGATCTTGAAGAATGAATTTGAAGGTGAAAAGAATATAATGAGCAAAAGAGAAAGAGAAAAAGTCATCTGTGTTCAGGAATAGTGATTAGAACATACAAAATACATGTGAGGAAAAAGTGGGAGATAAATTTAGAGAACAGCTAGATGGTGCAGTGGATAGAGCACTGGCCCTGAAGTCAGGAGAACTTACTAACTGTGTGACTCTGGGCAAGTCACTTAACCTTGATTGCCTCCAAAAACAGCAACAAAATGATTAAAGGGAAATAGGAAAAGAGATGAGGTCACAGGCTGAGGACACTAAGGTACCAGAAAGGGAAGAGTAGCTTTTAAAGAAGCCTAGGAGTTAGAGAAAAGGAGAAAGACCCAGAAGAAATCAGTGTCATGAAAACTGAGGGAGCAAAGGATTTAAAGAATGAGAGCAGGAGGTGGTCAACAGGATCAGATACCACAGAGGAAGGCCAAAGGGTTGAAAAAGGTTGATACCTTGAAGAGAGTGTAAATTTAGTCAGTGACAGCCGGTTCTACCAGAGGCTTTCAGAATTTCTCTATGTGTTCTTTCATATGCATAGATTACTAGGTTATAAATTCCTTGAGGGTAAGAATGATGGCCTATTCACCATTCTGCCTAATATAGTGCGATATGCATAGTAAGTGTGAAATATACAGTAAGGTCTGGACCATGACACTGACTAGCAATGAAGTGGTATTAAATTTGGGAGCAATTAATAGTCAAGGCACAGAGGCTGGATTTGAGACCCGTAAAACACATCTATCAATCTATCTCTTCACCGGCCCTCTTCAGTCAACAGTCCCACTTTTAACTGGGGGTTGGGAGGTGCAAATGGAAATAAAGCTAGTTAAAGCTAGAAACATGGGTTGAATCCTATTTACCTATGTGAGATTGTCCAAGTTTACTTTAACTCTCTGGGCCTCAGTTTCCTCATCTGCGTACTGAGATAATTGGATTAGATGAAATCTTGAAGGTCCCTCGCAGCTACAAATCTCTTAAGCGTATGATCATAAATAGTATATCTTTTATATAGTTTGCCTGGGGCATCACTTCAGAAGATGTTATCATCCTGAAGTGAAGTGCTTTAAAAGACCCTTTCAGCATTTCTTTTTTAAAAATCCATTACTTATTAATCCCCAAATTACTTATTAATTACTTATGCATCCCAAAGTGGGGAGAATTTGCTCATTTTATAGATTTCATAATGAGAGTTCTAGAAATCCTATGGGAGACATAGTGCTTTGGGACAACATTCCCTCCGACATCTGCCCAGCTGACCTGGTTGTGATGAGTAGACAACCCATTCCATTGGGGATGTCTTTGGACAAGAGAGGAAACAACATTTCTGAATACAATATTTAAGTTAATTAATTGCTATGCTTTTCTGAGTCTGAAAGGAAGAACTAGATTCCACTTTCAGTTGGTTTGATTAAGCATAACGCTTTTCAGGTTATAATTAACCTGGAAGATACAAGCAAAAAGTAGTTCTAAAAACAAACAAAAACTCAACTAGTTTTGAATTTGCACCCCAACCAATTTTATATATTGGTTATCCTCAGAGACAAGGAACTCATAGCGCCACACATTTCTTTTAGGGTACCACGGGCACAAAATCTATGTAGTAGAAAGAGGATTTGTTTTAAAAATTGACAAGGCAGAGAAAGCAGTAACCTCCCACTGTAGTCATCTGCGGCAGATGTGACAATCTAGCCATATAAGAAGGATGAAACTTCTAACACCAAGAGCTCTATAAAGCATAGCTGACAAACCCAAAATTGCACACACCGGTGTGAAGCTATGCTGGTGATGGAAAAATAAAGGTTTCAGAAACAGTCACCTACTTGGAGAAATTCATCAGAGACGAGCGTGTTCCCAACCAGTTCCTTAAAACACAGAGATAGTTGGTGTTTGGGGACTTATGGGAACAACATAACTAGAAATCAACATAGGTAAATCAACATATGTCAAGCCCTTGATGTACATCAATTCAACTACCTAATAAACCTGCTACCCCAGGTTGGTTGCCTATCATATGCCCCTAAGCTCTATTAAAAGCCCAATAGAATGACAGAGATAAAACAAAGTGTTGAATTTCATGCTTGGGTGCAACCCAAATGCACTTCATTACAGGAGGTAATTGGAAGCAAATCGCAGACCTTCTCAGGAAAATGTGACATCAGTATGTGTTGTGAGCTCCCAGGGAGACAACGTCTGCCAACTTATTTTGTATAGCATTTAGCACAGGGCCTCACACAGATAATAAGCCACATGCATTTGTTCTCTTGATGGTGATGATGACATTGACTTTGCAAAACAAGTTTTGTTGCTTGTTTTAGAAATGTCCTCGTAGTTCAGTGTAGAGTGTGGACTGATGCCATTCAGAAACCAACACTTCAAATTGATGTTCATTATTTGAATTTCATCTTGTCCCCTTTTCACTAAGAAAGGAAAAGCAGGAAATATTCTTTGTTATATGGGAGAGGGAGGGAGGGAGATGTAAGAGGAACTGTAGACATAGAAAACACAAAAAAAATCAATAAAATTTATTTTTAAAACAAAAGCAAAAGAAAAGGCGTTTAGTTAATGGATTGACTGGACAATTTATTCTGTGAAAGAGTTAGTGTGAATGAGTCTCTTGAAGGGGTTGTGTTATTTGAATTCACACCACATATTTCCATTGGGTTGGAACCAATTGCCATCTTTTACATAATCATAACTTCAAATAGCACAAGTTTGAATACATGTGACCACTGCAGGAAATTCATCATTCACTCTAAGCAAGATCTAGCTGTAAGACATAGGGTATGAAAACATGAATGAATGAATGGAGGAGGGGTTTGAGGGGAACAACTTGTACTATTCTAATAAAATTTCTGATTTGGTTTCGTGTAGTAGTTTAGTACTATGTATAGTAGAAAGAGTGTGGGATTCGGAGTCAGAGGACCTGCATTTGAATCCTGTCTCTGTTACATATTATCTGTGTACAAGTCACAACATCTCTGGCCCTTAGGTCCTCATCTGAAAAATGATGGTGTTGAACTAGATGGAAATCCCATGAAAGATTAGTTGAATCTTGGTCTTTCCTTATGAGTGTTCTTTGCTAACAATTTCTAATTAATACACACTTTATAAATAGTTAGGTATACAGTAACATGAGTATATGTTTTTAAAGGAATCATTAGCCTTGGCAGCGCACCTTGTCTCTCTACTCAGCAGGTGTTTGCTGGCAAAGGCAGTTTCTGGGTTCTTTTGGCCTACTTGTATTGTTGACTCTTTTCCATTGGGTAAGCTTTGATAAAGAGTAGTGATAAATCAATGTCTTTTTGGACAAGCAGTCTACACAAGAAAAACCAAGAGGATGATGAAAGCATTTTGTCCATGTGAACAATTAAATAGTATAGAGATTTTATACATATATATGTTATATATATATATATATATATACAGTTTATCTATTTATCTATCTATGACACATACAGGAGACAGACAGTAAACTAGTCCCAAAATTGAATAGTAGGAGATGAACAAATGAGATTCCATTTGAAATAAATACTCTGCATTGTGTTCAGTGATCTCAAATTGCTACTTGACACACCAACCCATCTTTTCAACACTAATATTCTCCTGGTGATGCCCTATGACTATGAATTATAGAACCCTAATATCTGAAGAATGAAAGTTTCCGGTGACCCCAAGAGCAATGACCAAATGCATGATGGGCAAAAGGCTGTACTATAATACCAGCGTTGACCTGTACACAAGAAATAATGTAACATACATCATGAACATTACATGGCTTGAAAAGGAGAGGAACCAGTCATGTAGACAAGAGGTAGACAAGACAGAGGGATACATTGGAACTTGAGAAATATAAAAGATCCAGAGGAAAGTAGTATATGTGCTGGGTAAATCCTCTTTGGAGAGTTTGTGGAATGATAGCCAAGAATATCATGGGTAGGTTACTCTTTGTACAAGTGAATGACATACCCCCATTGATGAGATCACCATTCTATCAGCTGACTAGGTATAAATATATAAGAAAAAGTTTACTAATTCATACTTATTAGGGTAGGATGTCAGGGTGAATTAGTATAAGATCTAAATCATGGAAGAGTTTTTAAGAATACCATTATAATTTTAAAACAAACATTTTAACACTAGTTGGCAAGTGGGAATTCTGCTCGACTTGCTTTAATGAATGGTTAAATATCCTTTGTAACTGGCATATTAGCAATTTGAATGCAAATGAGTGCAACTTGAAGGGGTTGTAAGGATGTTCCAAGGCATTATGGATGTAAGGTTAGCGAGTATCCTTGCAATTTTCTTTATAATATTGATTTAACAAACCTTTAGTAGTTAGTAGCAGGGTAAACTTAGATCACTTACCATTTAAATCAGAGGGGTTTTGATTAATCAGATTTTATTGAATTACTTGACAACAAAATGCCCATGAAATTCAATTGAACTCTTATTCCAAAGTGTCTACTTGGATTGTTTCTGTTATGTTATTTTCCTAGCTAAATCTACTTATGCTATCATTTTCTTCTTCTATTTATATTCTTTATTATTTAGACAGGGTTTTATTTTGAAAATACTAGGCAGTTGAATACAGAAGGGACCATTAGAGCAGAATTTCTTAATCTTTTCTGTGCCATGGTCCCCTTTGGCTATCTGGTGAAGTCTATGGACCCTTCTCAGAATATGTAATGTTTTTTAATCAAATGAGATAATATTTGTAAGGCATTTAGCACAGTATCTGGCACACTGTAGATGCTGTATAAATGCTTATTCCTTTCCTTTCCCTCTTTTAAAGAAAATAATAATTGAATGAAATGCTAAATTCCAGTTATAGATTTATGAAAAATAAAGATGTAATTTTTCCCAACCAACTACACCCAGATATCTCCCCATGGGCCTCTTGGGGTCTGTGGATCTTCAATTTAAGGAACTCCTACATAAGAATGACTAGATTTGGTGCATTTTATTGTTGTTGTTTTTTCATTCTCACTTGGGCAGTTCTTGTAAGCTATATATCTAGACGTAGGTAACTCTAGACACTGCTAAAATGGAAAGATTTCCCCATGTATGACTTGCTGGGATTTGCTATATGGTGCACCATGTGCTCACTGGGTAGATCCAGCTATGCCAGCATTGGACCAGAGGCGTCAAACTTGAATCCTGCAGCCTGCCAAAACCCCCAAGTGTGGCCTGAACCAGATTAAATGTGACTTGGAAATGTTTAACAAGATAAATAAAAATACAATATGACAATGTTGATTTGTGGTTTTCTAAGTCAATATGTAGCCTGCAGGGATCCATTTCTATTTGAGTTTGACATCACTGACTTAGACTATATCCTAATTCCTCATTGCCATAATGAGAATAGTAATGTCATCCCTACTTACCTGCCTCATAGGGATATCATAAGAATAAAATAATATTACTTTGAGCGCCTCAGAAGAAAAGGACTATAAAAAGCCAAGGCAATAATAAGTGTTTTGTAGGAAAAGAAGGAATGCTAATATTTGTTACTCCTCAAAAAGATGATAGATTTCTTTTTGACATTTGATTTGTGTTCTCCCCAAAAGGAAGAAATCAGACATTTTTAACAAAGCATGCGATTAATTCAGGACAAAAGATGTGAAATAGCATTCAAACCACACTTTTATATGATACTGGGAAAAAAGACTGGGTTTTTGTATTTTTTTTAAATAGGTGTCACACTACAAAAAGAAACCCAGGAAGGAATTCTGCCCCCTACCCAGAGTCAAGAACCTGTGAAATCTCAGGAGAATATTTCAAGACCCATTCATCCTCCACTGGTCATAACCATTAATTTTAAAGAAGAAGAGGAGGAGGAAGAGGAAGACAAAGACCACAAGGAGAACAGTTAGTATGATCTTCCTTAAATCTACAATGTGTGTAAAGACCCTTACACTCTTCTCTATTCACTTGTCTTAATGTTTTGTAGGTTTGTAATATGATGGAAGGTAGATGTTGAGGAAATTGCTTTAGTTTTCGTAAGCATCTTAATTCATTGTTCTAATTTAATAGTCTAAGGATGTGATCCTACTCATAAGTAAGGAGTAAATTCCTTAATTGGGGGAGATATATTAACTTTCAAGACCGCTTATGTTGTCTTTTTTCTGATGTACCCAGAAACCACTGGTAGTCAGATAAAGTTAATATGTCTCTCATGCCATCATGGGAATTTGGAGATGAAATTTTCCGTTGCAGACTGTGCAAGTGCAGCAAAACTCCATTATGAAGCATCTTGCTATTCCATGAATTCAGTTCTACTACTGATAAAATGAAATCAACAAATTGAATCAATGTGTCTATTAAATACCTATTGTATGCAAGACCATGTTCTATGGTTATGGTCCCTTTATACAGAAAGTTGTAAAGCACATTGTGTTCTCCCTCAGGCATGGGAAATTGGAAATTAAAATGCTTTCTTCATTCCCCAAAATCCATTATTATGAGGTTTTAGTGTATTTTCTTTTCTTAGGACATTTAAAAAAGTAATTTATCAAAAAATTTCATTTTTTCCTAAGCGCCTTTAAAATCTTTCTCTCTGGTATGTTCAACGGCATATAGTAACTTAAATTTTCATTTTAACCAGTAGTCACAATTCTGCTCTTCCCTTGTGGAGAGTATCAACAACTAGGATTTTTTTTTGTACCTAAATTAGTCCCCTTTTATCTCATGACTAGCTCATTTCATTGTCTGCTGAAAAATTGTCTCTGTCTTCAGTATTTACCCTTTCGATCTGTCCACTGGCCATGTCCTTTCTTTGATCAAACATTTTCAATAGTTTATAGGATCATAGATTTAAAAGTAGAAATGACCGACCTTTAAGATCAACTAGTCCACCCCCTTCATTATGTAGATGAGGAAACTGAAGCCCAGAGAGGCCGTGACTTGCCTGAAGTTACAGAAGTAATAAATGACAAAATCCTATTGTTTTTGTTGTTCAGTTGTGTCCAACTCTTTGTGACCCCATTTGGGGTTTTCTTGGCAAGGATACTGGAGTGGTTTGCCATCTCCTTCTCCAGTTCATTTTACAGATGAGGAAACAGAGGCAAACAGGATTAAGTGACTTACCCAGGGTCACATAGCTAGTAAGTGTCTGAGGCTCTATTTGAACTCAGGAAGATGAATCTTCCTAACACCAGGCCCAGCACTCTTATCTCCTGCACCACCTAGCTGCCCTATACATTGCTTACAGAATAAATCAATATAAATCAAAATAAATCAACAAGTATATACAAGCATTTATTAAGCACATATTATGTGTCAGGCGCTATGTCAAGGACTGGGGGAATACAAAGAAAAAATAAAAGCAGTCCCTGTCCGAGCTTACATTCTCAAATTCTTAAGCCTGACATTCAAATTTCTCCACAAACTACTTCAAACCCATCTTTCCAAAGTTAATCTCCACTGCTTTTTCTGGTAAACCCTCCATTTCAGCCAGGCTGGGATAAATCTCCTCATTGTTCCATGCATATAAACAGGGATATTCTTGTCTACTCATCTTTGTTTATGGGGCTTCCCCTGCCTGGTTACATTCTTTGCCTCCTCTCTGAATACTAAATCCTACTCATCAATCAGTGTCCCATCGGCACTGTGAAGTCTTCCATGATAATGCCAGTCCACAGTGGTATCATTAGTATTATTCATTTAACACTTACGTGTGTGAGGCATGACTATATGATGGTAATGATACCTAACAGTACCTCAGCTTTGTGACAGTACTTTAGCTATAGGGAGAGGCAGTATGTTGTAGTGAGTAGAGGTCCAGCTGGGGAACCTGGAAAAATCTGCATTGAAGGCCTGTCTCTGACACACCCTGGCTGTGTGTCTCTGGGCAAGTCATTTAAACTCTGTGTTGGAGGCAACTCTCTAAGACTATAATAAGTTGCATCAAAAGTGGGGACCTGCTCAAGCAGAATTTCCCCATTCAGGGATTTCCCTGTACCAATGAAATCACATGTTCAATTCCCAGGCCCCAGTTATATAACAATGACAATATATCTGTTGTAGTATGTTGTTGGTTATCTTTAGGTGTGTGTGTGTGTGTGTGTGTGTGTGTGTGTGTGTGTGTGTGTTCATGATTCGCCTACTGGATTGTAACCTCTTTGAGGGCAAGGATTGATCTTACTCTTCTTTGTATCTCTACACTTTCTAGGGTACCTTGTACATAGCAGTTCATTAAAGAATGATTGGTTGTGCATCTCCCTCACCTCCCTTTCTTGTGCCTTCCTCTCTTTTTGCATTTTAATATGGAGCTTTCTAGTGACAATACTGTGACCCAAAGAAATGAATTCTAGTAGGAGTGGTGGTGAGGAATGCATGGCAGAAAGATGCTAATTTGGGGCAAGGGATGGGGGGAGGTTCAGAGAGCTACAGCTGGAAGGGACCTTATCATTCATCATCCAGTCCCCTCATTTTATAGGGGGGGAAATTGAGGAACAGATAAGTTAAGTAACTTGCCTAAGATCACACAGGTGGTAAGTGACAGAGCTGGATTCCATCTCAGGTCTTGTGACTCCAAGTTCAATTCAGGCCTTTTTTTTTTTTTTTTTTTTTTTTTGCTATACCACAGACTTTTAATTCTTTTAGAAAACATTTACTAAATTCCTTGCGGATGGTAGGAACTGGAGAAGATGACAATAAATGTTTACTTGATTGAAGCTTCTAGGGCTTATAGATAGGCTTTTTTGAATATTTGAATGGACCTGTGCCCACATTGATATAGGGAACTCCTCCAGTGGTGCCGATTGCAGTAAGTCCAAACCTTTTCAGTCTGTGTCTTTGGCCATATATCCTTCATATGAATTTGCCCAAAATGTACCCCAGTCCTCCTTCTAGGTTTTTTTTTTTCTCATTCTGTCCATTTCAGTTCAGCAATATTCCTCATTATGATTACTGTATTTTATTCTTATGTATTTCCTGGATGTTTTCTGTTCCATTTCCCCAAACATATAATGTTGCTAATGTGCTGTAAGCCTACTCCCCCCCTCCCTACCCCTTTTCTCTACTTTGCCCTTTGGGTCACTCATAATTTTTATTCTATCTTAAAATAAAATACTTTATTTTAAAAGATGGTGGTATCCTAGGTTTCACAGCATCTGGTTTGACAACGACACCCTTTTCCTTTGAACTCTGCACCAGGCATTCTCCATAACAAGCAAAGAGCTTTTGGTCAACAGGGAACTCTTGGTTTTTCTCCCTTACTTGAAATGGATAATTATAAAATATTGAATGAAATTATCACTGTAGTTTCATCTATCAAGGAATGTTGGTATGATCTTCATAAAGGAATGAGAAATACCTCATTGTTGAAGAGTTTTTAAGGCTACATTGTATTCTCCAAAATTTGATTTTAAAATAATCAATAAATAATAACTAGGAATTAGTGTTCTTTATACTTTTCAGTCAATTTTGTGGTCATGAAGACATGGCTTGTGAAAAATCATTTGCAGTAGCCTGTAGATTCCTTTCTTGTAAAATGTATGTGTATATGTATGTGTATATATGTACGTGTGGGTATAGAAATATACACATGCATATGTATGTGTGTATATAAACATATGCATGTGTTTATATACATATTTACTATGTATGCACCCTGTATATACATATGTGTATATATATGTTCTAGCTAAATCCAGAACAAATTAGCCCCTAGGAATAGAAAACCACCAGGTCACTAAAGCAGTGTTAACTGACCCAGGTCAGAAAAATGAAGCAGGTTAAATGTTCCATGCCAGTCAGCATTGAGATCAGGCCTATGAGTGACCATTATACTTTCAGCCTGGACAAGTTAGGAAAACAAGTATATATACGTGTGTATGTATAAGTGTGTGTGGAGATATAGATAACATGTGTAATTAGCATATACACACATATAAGGATATAAACACATATATGCATATGTACACACATGTATATGTATGTGATACATAGGTGTGCAATATGTATGTAAATATATGCATATATTTACATGCATACACTCATGCACGTGTGTGTGTGTGTGTGTGTGTATGTGTGTATGTATGTGTGTGTGTATCTGCCTTCCTATCTTGTCCAAGTTGGAAGTTCAAAAGACACTCACAGGCTGGTTTAACTCTCTTTAGGTGGCCAGATAGCCCTGTGCTTCCAAGGGCTAATCATATTTGTTTTAGACTTAGCTAGGATATCTAATTAGCTTTAGCTTTTCTGAAGCTCAGAACGCCCAAACTCAAGTGATCTGCCAGCCTCAGACTGTAGCAGAAATTTTAGGTGTGCTATATGTACCAAGGCCAACAACCCTAGCTCATATTTTCATCAAGAATGCCCTCACTATATGTGTAGATCACTCCTACAAAGATTTTTTAAAGATGAAAAAGGAGACATAAATTGGATTTTTGATCACTTTTGTGCGTGTGAAATAATAATGTTCATAAGTTTTTCTTAGTCATTTGATATCTTTCTGTCTTCCAGTTATCTTAAAATTCAGTTTCTTAATGTATTCAAAATTGTGCAATCTTCAAAAGATTTCTTCTCATTACTTTGGCTTGTCTAACTTGTTTCCTGTCCTCTTTCTCTTCTTTTTTTCTCCTCTGTCCTTCCTTTTATTTCCCAATGCAAGACACTAGTGACTAATGTCTTAGAATCCAAATATATTTTTTCCATTGTGACTGGTAATGAAAAGAGTTTTGTGTGTAGAAATGATCTGTGTCTTGCTTTATCTGTTTGTTATCTTCCTTCCCGTTTCATTTCTAAATGTTACTATAATAATCTGACTCAGTTGGGTTTCATATTAAGTTTTTTGCAAACTCATTTTTTTCCATTGCTCTTTCATGTTTTGGGAGGTGGTACTTTTTATAATCTTCCACCATATGCTTACATAAGGGTTTTTTGGGGGGGCAATTGGGGTTAAGTGACTTGCCCAGGGTCACACAGCTAGTAAGTGTCAAGTGTTTGGTCTGAGGGCGGATTTGAACTCAGGTCCTTTTGACTTCAGAGCCAGTGCTCTATCCACTGTGTCACCTAGCTGCCCCGACATAAGTTTTTGAAAATGAGTTTCTATGCTAAATCAGTATTACCCTTTGCTGTCAAGTATTGCTATTTGGGAAGATCAGGTGTTTGCTAGTATATATGATTTCCAGGCTCTTTGGCCTCCCTTTTTTAGAGACTGCTTTACATGAATTACACCTCTCTAGGAAATAGTGGTTATATAACTTATTATATTTAGACACATGAATTATATGTATACATATATTTAATTTTATTTTTAAATATATTATAAAGTATATATGTGTATATAATTTTATTTATGTTATAAAATATGTCAATATATATTTATATGTACATATGTATATACATATTTAGAGGGGCAGTATATGTATATATTCCACACATATGCCATGTATAACATATAAATACATATGTACATGTATAATGCCCCTTAAATAACATCATAATAAAGGCTGTCTATGTGTTTATGCACAGAGACAGTTTTGTATAAGCCTTCTAAATGTCAAGAGAGGAAAAAATAAACAAAAACCTCTCTTCTAACTCTTCCCCCTACTCATTGGTTTATCCAACATTCTTCCACATATTAAATGTCAGCAAGGAGAAGGGGCATGCATTGTACACAGGGGAACTAATGTTTCTTGTTAGGATGATACTAGGGCGTACAAACTAGTTGATCACTATAGGAGGGGATTCTAGCTTTACTGCTACCTATGTTGGCTTATAAGTACTTGTGGAACCACAGTGTTTGTGTTTCGGGATATGTAGGATCATTCTCTACTTTTCCCACCCATCTCTTTTGAAAGAAGAACTGTGCTGGCTGGCTTGCTGGATAGATGGATGCAGAAAATATTATGAAGTATTATGTAGGAATAGACATGGATGTGATCAAAAGAAAGTCCTCCCCCACCCTACAATGAGAAGAAGAATTGGGCTTAATGCATATAATCGATAGTTTCTTTCTTCTGGATCATACTTTATTCTTCCTTCAGCATGGCAAACATGAAAATTTCTCTGGATGCAAATTTCACTGATTTTGTTTTACTCTGAAATAATTTCTTTTAATTTTAAATTAGTTTAAAAATTAAAAGGAATCATCTCACAGTAAGAATAACAGCTATGATTTTTTTCTTTCTAATTTGTAATAGAATTTCTCATAGACTTTGTATATGGGAGACAATTTACCTTTGCAAAATATGTCCTGCAGATGCTTCTAGTTTGTGGACAAGGACTCCAGAGGAAATCGAGGAAGAAAGGGCGATAAAGGAAATGTGCTATAAGTCTGGTAAGCATTTTGGTGATGGTGTGGGGTTTTTTCTAGTTCTGTGCATGAATACTCTACTAACCATTATTTTCCTTATGGGGAGATTAGGTGAATACTACCGATTTCACACTCCTCCAGATATTTCAGCAAAAAGCATGACTTCAACAGTGGAAAAAGAGTTAGCAAAACCCTTGGAAAATGGCAATGAATTGCAAGAAGGTAAGCCATTAAATGATAGCACAAAGTGATGCTTAGGAGATACCTCATGCAATGGCATGAATTACTTATTTAGTAAGATACACAAGGACAGACTCTTTTTTGTTTGTTTGTTTGGTTGGTTGGTTTTGAGCTAGCTATGTGATTTCATTTGTGTAGGTAAGGTCCAAAGCAGAAATTCCCTCCAGTGATGCTGATAATTAGATTCTTAAAAAGTTGTTTGGGATGCTGAAAGGGTAAATGATTTACCCACCATTTCACAGACTATAGTGTCAGAGGCAGGAATTCAAACCAGGTTTTCCTGACTGCAAGGTCAGTCCTCTCGCCACCACATCATATTACTCTGAATCTGAGGTCAGAGTTTAAATGGGAAATAAATCCACTCAAAGTGGACAATGGTTTTATCCTGTGTCCTAAATTTAATATGAAAAGCTTTTGTGGAATGTAATTATGCCTTCCCAGCTGTGCAGTATGAATAGATGAGGATTTCTACAAACCTTATTTTACAATGATTTTGAAGATGTTTTGCTGTTAACATTTTATCTTACAATAGCAGGGATGAAAATAGGTGAAGATTTTTCTTATTGAATTGATAAGCTAATTGAAATCCAGCAAGGTTCAGTGACTTGTATACAGTTACAGAAGGAGGTCAGTGGCTGAAGTCAGGATTGGGCTTTTGACTCCTGGGTCTCACTCTCCTCCAATTCCTCCTCCTTTTCTTCTGTAATTAATGAACAGAACTAGAGTCTGCAGTTGGGAGGCTGGATGGGAATATTCTGTTTTTTTGAAAAGGTGAAATGTATGTTTAACCTCAATGTGTATAGAATTGATTATGTTAGAGTTGTCTGATATATCAGCTAGAAACAGGAATGGACTCAACGAAACTTCACATTCTCGCCCCTAGGATGAGCTTTAAAACCAGTTTTGCAGCAGTAGCAGGGATTTGTGTCAAACAGACCCAGCAGGGAAAGCCACCAGGGCCAAGGTGGGTAGGGGTAGGGAATCGGCCCCCCACGCACGTGGTTAATCCACAGAGCAGATGATCTGCCTGTCCTTTATCGAGCCATAACTATTGTTTGGTATATACTCTGTCTAGCCTTCTGGCACCAGATGGCTGCACCCTTAACACCCCATGGCAGGGGCAGTACACGTCCTGAGGCTTTTAAAGTTCCCTTTGACCTATCGTCCTCCTACACAAAGTGACCTCTCAGTAACACGGCTCCATGAAGGATCTTTATGATACCCTCAGTGTAGGGGAATTCCTCATGTGTGAACTCTGTCCACCAACAGAGATCACATCCTGGTGTTTGACTTCAGTGTTAAGTCCTACGGAGTTGCCTGAGGTTCAAAAAGGTTTGGTGACTTTTACCCAGTGTCACACAGAGTAAGAGGATGGAAGGCATACTGGCTTTGGAGCCAGTTTGACCTGGGTTTGAATCTTACCTCTGACACTACCTGTGTGATCTCTGTTACTACCTGTGTGACCTTGGGCATGTCACTTGACTTCCTTCAGTTTTATCTTCCTCTTCCCCATAAGGAGCTCCCTTCCAGTTCTGCCTTTACAATCCTTAAGTTTTTCACATAGCTAATAAGTGTCAGAGGTGGAATTTGAACCCAGGTACTTCTCATTCTAAGCCAGGTACTCTTATCTACTGCATCATGCTGCCTCAGTTATGAAAGAGAAGAAAATGGTGGAATAGGAGGGGGAGGTGATTATAAAAGCCTTTTTATAAAGTTGATTTATACTGTGATTTTAACATGAATTTACTAAAGAATGAAATGATACTAAGAAAATATATGAGAAAATGAGGCAGTCATTTCATTTCCACAAGAGCAGTCAATAATAACATGTAACAACTTTTGCTAAATCTGATACTTCTGAATGGATGTCAAACCAGGAAATATTTGTAAATCCCTTTAAAGAAATGATATTAAAAAAACACTCAAATGCAATCAAAAATCATTTCTATTTCATGTCCAATGGAGAAGAAATAGTTTTAAAATGTCAAATTGCCAATTCATTTTTGAATTGATCAGATAAGAAAAGTCTCATTTTCCTCTTTGCTGATTTAATTGTGAAACTGCTTTAAAAAGTCATGTACTTTATTGTTCATGAAATCACTGTGCAAACAATACTTGCTTTAGATAATATCCCAGAGTCTTGCTGTCTTCTCATAAGCATCTCATAAACGTGCTATTTCTGTAACACAGTTCCTATGGTGATCTGTACTTTAGAAATGTAGCTATTGATACGTCAACCCTTCCCCCCCTTTTTGTGCCATTTTAGGGGATGGTCTTACAGTTCCAATGAAGTTCAATATATTTGAAAGACAAGGTGAGATAAAAGCATCATTGGATGGAAAACCAAGAACTGACCTTGCTGCTTTTGAAAATGGAGGTGACGTCATGCAACTTTTTTTTTTTTGGTATTTACTACTAGTTATATTTGACATTCCACAGACCACCCGACTTCTTCCTTTGAGTGGACAAGTTAAGCAGGTCTCATAATTATAAAATAACATTCTTTGATCAATCCTATGTTTTTTTTTTATGTTCCTGTTCTCTTTAAAGAGAATGATTTCAATAAAAATAGAAAAAGTATTTTTTTTAGGTTAATGGTTGGTGAAGATGCTAGTTGCTGTGAAAAGGTGCATATATTTAGGCCTACACAAGACAAATGGCTTATTCATGCATATTGTTTTATTTGTCTCAGGCTATTTCTTAATCTTCATATTTGTCTTCAGCAATTGAATTGTTCATATTCAATTCAACAACAAACATTTTAACTTTACCAACTAATATGCTAGATTTTTAAAAATGACATCGTCCCTGCCTTTAAGCACCTTACAGTCTAATAAGAGAGACTGGATATGTATAAATATAAGTAGGAGAGAAGGTGGGATGTGTCACAAGTAAAGGAGAGCTTCAGATCCAGTGCTCTAGGAAATACTTTTACTAGCAACACGATTGCTCCTACTCAGGCATTTTGAACTAGGTCCTTCAAGAATGCATCTGAAAGCAATACACCTTAGGTCACTAGTTTTAAAACTTTTGTTTAAACTAAAAGGACAAGGAAGAATGAGAAAGGGAGATATAGGGTGGAGGAAAAAGAAGAGAGAGAAGTAGAAAGAGGTAAAACTAGTTTCAAGCCAAGGATTGAAAATAAAAACTGAGTGTTTAGATATTATATCAGAAATACTTTTTTCACAGTGCTACTCCTTTATTCTGTCTTGGCCTTCTCTCTGTTTGGATACCTTCAAGTTCCAAGCTAATTTATTTGTTCCTGCCCTTAATTTTTCCCCATGTCTTTGACAGAGAATTTAAAGTAGCAGTCAGTGGTTGGTTATGCCTAGGGAGATGATATAAGCAGCGATCTCTCAGTTGTATATGGAACTCTGTGAAAATTCCTTTCAGAATGGATGAAAGAACTAAGTTTATTGTTTATAGCCTGGAGAGTAGAAGACTTGGGAAGGACATATTATTTGTATTCACATCTCCAAAGCACTGCCATGGGGAAGATGGATTTGATTTATTGTAATTTTAGGGGACAGATCTAGGACCACAAGGTCGAAATTGGCGGTGAGGGTGAAGGGCAGGGAGTGAGGGAGATTTCAGCTCAATATAAGGAAAAGCTTCCTAATAATTCATGCAGTCTGAAAATGGAATGGGTTGACTTGTGAGGGAATAAATTCCTTAAACCTGCAAATATTTAAACAAAGTCCAGAAACATTTTGCTGGGGTTATCAAAGAAGTGATTGATATTTAGAGAAAGGATTAGAAGTAGATGACCTTTAAGGGCCTTGTAAACTCTGTGAGAATTAGAGTGGGCCTTATCTATATGAGACAGTAGAGTATGGTGAATTGATTTAAAGAATATGGATTCTAATCCCAGTTCAGCCATTTTGCTTCCTTTGTGACTATAGGAGCAAGTCATTTCACCTGTTGGGGCCTCAGTTTCTTCATCTGTAAAATGAAGAGATTGAGCCAGAGGACCTCTCATGTCACTTCAAATTCTAAATCTGTGATCCTATGATCTGGCAATGAGTGGAACTGGGGAAATGCCTTTGCTTCAGTAGCTTGTTTTGATCCTCTGAGAAACCAGATGGTTACAAAGAACAAACCAGACCAACTCACCAAGTTATAATATTATTTTAGTGAGTCAGTCTGGTTTCTTAGTTGTCAAAATCTATCAAATAACAAGGGTTTATTAACAACCTACTTCATGCTAAGTGCTAGGGTGACAAAGGAAAAGGTGGAAGAGTCCCCTCCCTCTAGAAGCTTACATTCTGTGTTCTCTTAAATCTATCATGCTTTATTGTCTCATTCTACAAAATCAACACATGCTTGCTTTGGGGGCAGGAGGGAACACATCAGTAGCTGGTAGGGATCCAGAAAGGCCTCATACAGAAGGTGATGGTGCTTGAGCTTAATCATGAAGGAAACACAACAGGCACGGATGACAGCTAGTGTAAAGGCATACAGATAGGAGTAGAAAGGCCCGTTTGCCTGAAGCGTAGAGTGTGTGAAAAGGCATAATATGTAAGAGGGCTGGGAAGGCAGAACGGGACCAGACTGTGAAGAACTTAAGTTGTTAAATAGAAGCTTGTATTTTTTTTTCCTAAAAGACCATATGAAGTCAGAGTGACAGGGTCAGATTGTGATTGAGTGGTTCTGTAGAGGATAGATTGGAGTGGGGAGAGAAGAGCCAGCTAGGTCAGTTACCAAAGTCCAGGTGAGAGGTGACAGAGGGATTAAAATAGAATGATGGATGTGCAGATAAGGGAACATATATGTGAAATATTATGAATAAAGAAACAAGAGTTAGCAACTGATTGGAATATGTGGGATGACTGAGAGTAAGGAGTTGGAGCTATCACCAGAATTGCCTACCTGAATGACTGGAAAGGATGGTTGTGTCTTTGACAGAAACAGGAAAATTCAGGAGGTGGTAGCTTTGGAGAGACTGATGAGCTGTAAGCTTAGGGTGTTAGGGAGAGAATATCAAAAAGGTTCAGAACTTTCTGAAGCCTGTGTACTCTAAGTGAACAGGTCCTTTCCTCTCAGAAATGTATGTTGGAGTATTGTTCTGGGTACCACATTTTAAAAGGGGCATTCACAATATGGAGCATGTCCTAAATTGGGTAACTGAGGTCTGGAAATATGGGATATTTAGTTGGGAAAAGAGAAGACTTAAGGAAGACATGATATTACTTTCATATGTTTAAAAGGTTGTCATATGAAAGAGATTGATGAGTTATTCCATCTAGTTCCAGAAGGCAGAATTACATGTTGTTGTGGAGTTGTTTTAGTTGTGTCTGACTCTTTGTGACCTCGTTTGAAGTTTTGTTGGCAAAGATACTGGAGTAGTTTGCCATTTCCTTCTCCAGCTCATTTTACAGATGAGGAAACTGAGGCAAACAGGGTCTTAAGTGACTTGCCCAGGGTCGCACAGCTAGTAAGTGTCTGAAGCTGTATTTGAACTCAGAAAGATGAGTCTTCCTGATTCTAATAACAGTGCTCTATCCACTGCACCACCTAGTTGCCCCCCTAGAATTAGAAGTAATGGGAAGTTGGAGGGATGCATATTTCACTTCAGTATAAGCAAGAATTTCCTAACAATCTGAGCTATTTAAAAAAAATGGGCTGCCTTGTGAAATTATGAATGAATTTCCCATTCACTAGAAATGTCTATCAAGCAAGAGGCTGGATCACTTCAACTGGACCAGATGTTGAGGGGATTTCTGAATTAGGTGGGAGGTTAGGGAAGATTACTTCTAAGACTCATCATCACTAAGATTTTGTATTCCTCTAATGCAGGGGGTGACTGTTATGTACCGCAAAGGATCATATTTCTCGGAGTGAATGAAAGTGAAGCTTTAACTGAAGAGAACAAATTCATCATGTCAAAAGGTTCAAACAGTAGTAAAGGTAAGAAATCTTTGTGATTCTTATAATTAATTTTGTTTAATTTATAATTGTTTTGGGCACATGTAATAAGAGCCTGTTATCATATATTACAGACTTTAATTGAATAACCCAAGACAAATCCATTTTTTATTTCATTCACTAAAAGAAAAATCTAGTTATATTTCCATAGAAAGTTCAGGTTGCAACTAGAGAGATAGGATTGTCTTCTTGTCCCATTTTAACCCTTTAATTAGAGGAATATAGTGTGGAAATGATCAGAAACTCAAAACGCCTCCTTTGAGCAGTTCTTTGTTTTTTGCTTTGACACTCATATTTTACTAAAAACTCTTAAGGAGGAGTCCCTAAGTCTTTCTACCCCAGGCTGTAAGAAGCTACTATCTTAGTCACTAGGAGAGATTTTTTTTTCCTCTTATCTCCCTGAATATAACCTAGTGATATCTACTTCTTTGTAATACCAACGTCCTCAATTATCTAAAGAGTAATTGAAGAAACATTTCCTATTTGGGGTCAGAAAAAATGGAAATGGACTTATGGAAAAACCTGCATCATTCATATGAAAAATAGAATTTCAATACAAGATAAGGAAATTTTGAGAAAAATATTGTAATCTGTTAAGGGAAGTCTTGTAAGTATAGATGGGGAGAGGTAGATTGTTGGATAGATATTCATTCAGTCAGACTAAAGACAGTCTCTATCCCCCAAGGAGCTTACATTCTAATGGGAGAAGACTAAATTCTAAAGGGAGCTGAAGGGGGCGGTAGAGGGGTAATGAAGGTACTGGAATGGCGGTATGGTCGACAAAGTTCTGGGGAGATGAGACAGTAGAGCATTCTGGGAGAGAAATGGAGACATAGTTGATCTGGGTTTCCTCCTCAAAATAGAGGCTCTGGGAAGAACCAGCCAATCAGAGGGAGAGGCTCCAGGGGCTGAGGATACTTATGTTGGGAGAAGTAACACTCAACTATAAGTCAAGACATTGTTGACCTTCTAGTTTCCTAATCTGTAAAATGAGTGAGTTTAAGGTTTGCTAAGGTGCTTTAATTCTCTAAAATTATGTGGTTTGTATGAACCTGTACTGAGTGCTGTATTTAAAGTTTATTTGGGGATCATGTAGCTCTGGAAGGAACCTTTGAGGTCAATTAGTCAAACCTCCTCATTTTATAGGTCAGGAAACTGAGACCCAGAGAGTTTATATGAGTTGGCCCAGGTCATATAGGTGCATATATAGTGCAGAGCCAGAAAACAAAGCCTGGCTCTTTAATTCTCTTTCCGTGGCATCATTCCGTGGCTGCTCCATTTTGGAGCGCACCACTATTTGTGGGATTGATGAGCATCTTCATCTTTTTTTTTTGTGTATGTTCTTTCTTTTAAAATAGTATATCATTACTCTGGTACTATGGTATTTAAATTTCAAAAACACTTCCTTGACTCCAGACTGCTATTATTGGGGAGCAGTAGTAACAAGGAGAACAGAGCATGTGATATTTAATGCATTACAAAAAATTTACAAGTATTTATTTTCTTTCCCTTCTTCTTCCCTCTCCTATTAGCAATTTTTAAAAATCCCTCTGAATGAACATGCATAGTCCAGCAAAGCACATTCCCACATTTACAAACAAAATCACATCTTATTCTGTATTTTAAGTCCATCTCCTTTCTGGTAGGAGATGGGTGGAATGTTTTACCTTTGGTCCTTTGGATTCAGGGTTTGTCATTGCGTTAATAAGAGTCTAAAATCTTTTCAAGTTATTTTTCCTCTATAATGTTGTCCCTGTGCAAGTTATTTGGTTTCTGCTCTTTTCACTCTGAATTAGTTCATGAAAGGGCTTCCCAGTTTCCTCTGTAACAGCCCATTTTGTTATTCCTGATGGCACAGTAACATTAAATTACATTCACATGCCACAATTTGTTTAGTCATTCTTCAACCACTTAATGCATTTAAAAATAGTATGTAAAAAGATTGGAATTTTTTTTCATTAGGGGGATAATACCACAAGGGGAATTTTGAAATGTTAAACTCAAAAGGTACTTTTATTAATACTGACCTTCTTCTTTCTTCTTCTCTTCCAAAGACATCAAGGACAGTCTTCATCCAAAGCATCCTGTAACTACAAGACCAGTACCTACAACACACATATTAAATGCTACTGAGAATATCAACACAAAATGCAAAGGGGATCCCTCTTCAAGTGAGATGTCCTTGGGTATATTTGAACTACATCCAATCAGTTCATGAAATAGACCATCAAAAATGATTATAGCTCAGAAGTAAGAGGCAGGTCCTGAGAATGAAGGAAACAAGATTCTCTTGGTATCTCTGTGAAATATGATATGGTTTTGAAAAGTGTATATATCTTTGTTGACTTCATGTCTGGAAAATTGAGGTATCATCAATTAGCTGTCACCTAAGGTTGTTTTTTAGGATTAATGAACAAACTTTAAAAAATTCATCTACAAATAAATACCATGTAAATGCTTTTGATTACCCATATATTGTATACTTTGGGAATTATTTGTAATTAATCTCCCCTCTTTAAGATTGGTTTCTCTTTACAATCCAATGTGCTGGATCCACTTCCTTTGACATAATTAGGGAGGCAAAAGAGTTGGAGAAAAAACATACATGAGATCACCTGCTGCTACACTGTAATCCTTTCACTCTCCACAGTCCACCGTAATGTGGCCATTCCAAGCCTTCTCATCCCTTTTTCAAGACTCAGCTCAATATCCACAGTGTTTCTTTCATCAACTGATGAATTTGCCTGTTTTATTGAGAAAACCAAGGCCATTCATGATAAGGGCCCTTACTCTGCTCTTCCATAACTCCAAACCTTTTCTCCAGTGGAAGTTTAACCTTCTACTTGTGTACCCTTCATCCTCTCCAGTGTCTTCTTGACCTTGTTCTTTTGATCATTTCTTCTAGCTTATCTTAAACCATTCCTCTTACTTGGTTCCCTTCTCTGTCTACAAACATATGTGGATCTCATTAACCTAAAATACATACAGGCATGCACACGCTTCCCTTTACAATCCACCCCTCAAGCTATCTACCTATATTCTTCTCCTTTTCAGTGTTAAACTTCTAGAAAGAGTAGTAATTTCTTAGTGCCCAGTTACTACTGTTAACATCCTCTAATCTTGCCTTCACCCTCTTACCATTACTAAAATGTCTCTTTCCAAAGTCATCAATGCTCTCTTAATTGCCTCTTCATTGTCTTTTTACTAATTATCATCCTTCTCAATCCTTTCCTTCCTTCCTTCCTTCCTTCCTTCCTTCCTTCCTTCCTTCCTTTCCTTTCTTTCTTTCTTTTTCTTTCTTTCTTTCTTTCTTTCTTTCTTTCTTTCTTTCTTTCTTTCTTTCTTTCTTTCTTTCTTTCTTTCTTTCTTTCTTTCTTTCTTTCTTTCTTTCTTTCTTTCTTTCTTCCTTCCTTCCTTCCTTCCTTCCTTCCTTCCTTCCTTCCTTCCTTTCTTCCTTCCTCAGGTTGTTTCTATGGTTCCTCCTTTCCCACACCTTCTCTCAATAATTTCTTGATGGCTTTGTCTATTCTCATGACTTCAGTGGTCACCTTGGTACATATGACTCTCAATATATCCAATTTCTTTGAGCTCGCTCCAGTCCCATAATTATGAAAACATGCTGAACATTCAGGACAATACCTTGAACTTAACATATCGAAAGCTAAATTTCTTTCCCAAACCTGCCCCTTCTCCCAATTATTATTATTATTATTGTTATTATTTTTTAAAATTTCTATTGGTGGTGCCATCATCCTTCTCTTCCAAACTCAAAACCTTGGAGAGGCATGTTTGGTTCTTTCCTTCCACAGTATCCAATCATTTGCCAGTTCTGTCAGTTCTGCTTCTCTGATGTTTTTCAAATCCATCTCTTCTTCCACCCACCACTTAACATTTACACTGCTATCTCTCTAGTTAAGGCCCTCATCATCTCGTACCTGGACTACTGCAGTGAAATCCCTTATGGTTTTCACATCTCTAATCTTTCTCCTATCTAAGCTATTACTTTAAAATTAATTCTTATTATGGTTTTATCAGTCACCATCAACACAAATATAAAATTTTTTAAAAGATTATGTATGAAACTGTGAACTGTTAACAGTTTTATAATTGTGTGTATAATTGTTATACATACATACATATATACATACATACACACACATATATACACATACATACTCAATTTAACAATATGGTAACAAAATTTTGTCCTATTTGCCTTTTTGAACTTGCTTTCTTCTATGTATTTTTATGCCTTATTGGTAATCTTTATCTCATTTTCCAGTAATTCATTGCACTTCTCTCCCTTCCCCTACTCAAGAAGTGCCGTTCCTTGGAACAGCTAAGTATAGTCAAGCCAAACAAGACAGTAGAGAACAGAACTTTGAGGAATGACTACAGTTAAGGATATGAAGAGGAAGACAGGTGAAAGGCTGAAGGAAAAGTAGTATAGGATAGTGTCACAGAATCTACATCTGAATACTTAATTTTTTATTTGTGCATTTTGGTCCACACAGATATAGCCAAACCCTCTGATAAAGAGTTCTAAGAAAGTAAAATAAGATTAGCTAAAAGTATATTATATGATCGAAATTCTTGAGTATATTTTTTGGCCAAAATAATAATAAAGTATTGAAATGTTCAAAATACCAAGCCCATTGCTACTTAATAATGTGTGCTAGTCAGTGATTTAGAATTAGATTTGGAATATACTTTGTTTTCTTTTACTGTAACTCACACATTGCTTTTGTGAAAGGTTTGGGGTTTTTGTTGTTTTCACTGAAGAATGTCATTTGCTTAAAATTGTTTTACTATTCACTGATTCCAAAATAGATTTCTGAGTACTTCAAAGAACTCCCTTTGTTCTCGAAAACATCAGAATAGAAATAGTATAGTTATTATTTCTTTTCCTCAACTCACTGAAGTGCAGATATAAAATTATCACCTATAGTAATATTTGAATGAAAGCATCTCTTTAAAAAAAGACAGCAACTTTAAAATAAACTCTTCTCTTCTTCAAGTGAATGATGCCCAGTCAGCGAGGAAACCTAACTTTAAAGGGGTGAAAAAAAAGAAATGGATTTATGAGGAACCAAAGAACCCCCCAGGCACAGGGACAAGGAAAGGTAAAGTATTACAACTGGTTTACTACTATTGAGAAAAGAGATTTAAAAAAAAAAGAAATAAAACAACTCAAGTAGGATATCCTCCCAGAAAAACACAAGGGATCTTATTTTCCTTTAGATCCAATTGTGGCTACTTAATGAGACTTCATTTTTATAACTTAACTCTTCTGATGGTCATGTTTTGTATCCACTTAATCTCTGCTTTCCCTCGACAGCAGCACAGGCTCCAAACCCCAAAAATAAAATGAACTACCAACGAAATGATAAAAACAGGAGTGTGGAGAATGCATCCTATGTTCATGTTCAAAGAGAAACTGTAAGGAGTGTTTCATTGAATTCGCCAGCATGTAGCAGGCCAGCAAATGGGACTTATACCAAAGTCAGTGTTAACAAGGATCCCAAACTCAACCTCTGTCCAGGTGAGGCTCTTTAATCAGGCACATCAACTGTGACTACCATTTTGAATTCCTTTAGTTTGGTTATAATTGTCACTGTTACCCAGTGTCCACTCATTTTGCAAGCATATCACAAATCTCATTTCTATCAGTGGGAAAAAGTCTCATTTCTGTCTTAAGGATTTGAAATTTTAAAAGGAATCTTGAGAGTTGTTTGTCCACCTGGGTGAATGCCAAAAGAAAGCAGCCAGCACTTGGGATATGGTCAAGCAAACCTGGAGTACTTTCTTGGTCTCTACTGGCTGGCAGAAAACAAGTTCTTAAAACTAATTGAGAATAGACACACCCCTTTTCTGTAGGTCCCAGTTTTTATAGTTACATTCTTTCTTGTATAGTTATGCTCTTCCTTACTGTCTTTTAATGAGTAATATAACTCTAAGAAAATCCAGCCCCAAAATGTTATCAATATCTCCTTGGCTTCTTTGATTAAGTTCTAGAGTTCCAATGTTTTCCTTTCATGGTGACAAGAGTTGCAGAAGGGGCCTTAAAAACAGAGACCATTTAGAGCAAGTTGAGAATAGTCCAGTCAGTTTTCCCTGTGAAATGGGCCTCGTGGCCATCCTGGTTCAGATTCTGTTTCATTTCAGACAGGGAAATTAACGAAGAGACAGACTGTAGGGGCATCTCCATGTGTCTCATGTCACATAGAGAAGTTTTGACATTGCATACCCTGGAGTTTGACTTCAAAGACTATTTCCCCCCTGCTTTATTTCACCCTTGTGGATTGTTTGTAAGTGGCTGACATTTTCTTGCTCTTGTGACGTGTAGTGCAATTATCACTCTCAGTCCAGTGGCTTGGCCCTTCTGCAAACCTTCATGATTACTTTCTGAAAGGGTTAGTTTGAGGGTTAACTGCAATCTTTCTGACAACATCTCATCTCCTGTGCCATGCACAGATGGCTAGCTATCACATGTTGCATGTAAATCATTTCATCATGTAATGTGATAAAATCATTGTACTGTGTCAGCAAGGCAAGGCCTTGGTGAGGGAAGAGTTAGTCTTTTCCTCCTTTTTCTTGATGAATTTTGCCCTTTTGAAGGCCGGGTTACAATTCTCTGAACTTGGCTAAATGTCACTCAAGTCTATTAAATTTCATATTAGGTTTACTCCTGCTGTGAGATTGGTTGGTGGAATTCTGAGAATTGGATACTCTTGAAATTGTTAAGATATACTAACGTGTAATTTCTTTCCTTCCTCTTATCCTTTAGGTATATGGGGAGGGGGGACCCAATGTACCAATTAGGCCCTTCCCCATTCTTGATACGTGATAAGCTCAGCTCCTTTTCTGGTAATACATGTGTACAATAATATCTCTTAGACTTCTTCTCATGTGCAAGTCATCCTTGGTAATAATGCTTATGACTTTCATTGATTGCCTTTTGAATTACTTGTAATTTTAATTCTTCTAAGATGAATTGTTCTATCAGTGCTCTTCTAGAGCTCTGTTCTATCAATGACCAATGAATGAAAAAAATCTCATAATTATTAAGCATTTGCTATATGTAAGGTATAGTACTAAGCTCTGAGGATATAAATACAAGCAAACCAGACTATGCCTCCGTTCAAGGAGTTTACATTCTAATGGGGAGATGTAGCTATAGAGTGTGTTTTGGATAGGGAATAATTAATGCATGGAAGAGATTGTAGATTACATTTTGTTCATTAATGAAGCTGCCAGTTTGCATTTATAAATGGTCAGACTTAACTTTCTCCCCCATTTCATAGAAGACAAATGACACATCCTATCATCACAGGTTGACTTTGGATTTTTTTTTTAACTCCTATTCTCAGTATAGCTTATATTTAGCTTGAAATAAAGTGCCTGGTTCACTGCCTTCTTTGCTAAAATGCTCCTTTTTCCTGTCTACCTCCATTACTACAGCCCTCAGGTGTCCCTTTGTCCAAGTATGTCCATCCCTGCTTCCTTTTTTCACTGTGCCTTTCTTTTTCCAACCCCCATCTCATGTAAATGATTCCGTTCCTTACTCAAGAAGTGTTGTGGCAGACTGAAAAAGATGGCAGATGGGTTATCATTTTTTTTTTCCTGCAAAGCTGTTTCATCCATTTTTCATTGATGTCCTTTTTTCTTTTTGGTCTCTTTACCTCTAGTGCTACATTTTCAAGTTCTACTTTCTATTTTTTAAATAATCAAAGCATCAGTCTTGGCACAGCAGCCAGGAAAGCAGAGCCTCTGAGATGGGACAAGGGAACAGACAGCATAGTGAGGGTTGGGGTGGAGGAGTAGGACATTGATGGTAGCTGGGCTCAGTATTTCTGGGTTTCCCTCCCACTCCTGACCACAAAGAAAGGAGGTGCTACAACTGATTCAAAATGCTTTTCTCTCTCCCAGTCAATCCTGGACAGGGATCAGGGAAAGGGGAGAGGAGCCCATCCAGATTTGGGTGTGAGGCAGAGCTGTGCAACCTATAATTGTTAACTGTTCAGTGTGAGCATTTAAACTTCAGAATAGGTAAATGACACAAATCAGGTTTGGTTTATTGTTTTGTTGATTGTGTAGTTGTAAGAAAGTAATATATAAGATGTTAATAATGCAGATTAAACTTGAATGTCAAACATTTACTATCACATCTTTGGTGTGTGGAGTGATAACCAATAGTGTAGTAAGGAGGGAGAAGAACAGTGTTTACTCATAGGTACCTGAAACTGTAATAACGAAGATTGGGTGATTGGTCAGAATTTTACTCTGAAATGGACAATGAAATAATGATTTCCTTGAAAAAATAATTTCCTTGCTCCATTTCTGTATCATTTTTATTATTTTTCTGCATAATCTGCTTTGCTTTAATACTTTATCACATCCATCCATTGTTCCTTCTCTCTTTTCTTTGGGTATCCACAACTTGTTTCCATATTTGCCATTGTCTATTATTTGTCTAGACTGACCTTGCTCAGTAGATTTATAATGCTTGCCACCATGCCTGGCATATTTCCATCTTCCAAGTACATTGCTAATATGACTATTTATACTCAGTGTATGATTTCAGCCAACTATTAATTTCTTGTATCCCATTTTCTTATTATGGCTCTTCTGCTGCAACATATTTGGCTTTATGTGCACATGAAACCTTGGCAGCATCTCTCCTTTATCATCAGTATGCTTTCTACACTCCTCTTGAGACATTGGTATAACACAAAAGCTCTTATGCATTAACCCCAGTTTGAATTTTAAAACCTGCATTTAAGTCCCCACCACAAAGCTTCTGGCTCACACCTTGTTTTCCAGCCTTATTTCACGCTGCTCCCTTTCCCATCCTGTGTTCCTGCCAAGTTGGAGTAAGATGCTGTCTGAGTTGTGACTGCCATCTCTTACCTTCTGACTCTGAAATTCAGAAGAGCCATCCCCCATGTCTGGAACTTAATCCCTCCCGACATCTTTCCCCACCAACGCTTTTCCTTCCCTTGGAAGCTCACTTTAGGTGCTTCTTACTCCGTGAAGTCTTCCCTGATCCCCGCAGCTGAAAGTTTTTCCTTCCTTCACCAGTCTTCCTTGAACACTTTCTCTGGATCTCTTCTTTCCTCTTCCCACTCTCCCTCATATTAGTGATTTTGTGCATCATTCTTTTCATCTTGCCCAGAATATTTATCAGTTCTTTGAAATCAGGGTCTATGTAATATACTTCTTTTTATCTGAAACATCTAGCATAATGCCTTGAAAACAGTAGGTACATAATAAATACTTTAGTGCCTTGAATTCAGCATTAGCATTTGATTACAAGAGATGTGTTCGTTGACCAGAGAGATTTTTGTTGAGGTAGCTGCCAATGAAATAGCAAAACAAGTTTCTTGTACATAGATATGGTAATGAAATTGGTTGGTCCAATATTTTCTCATATGTGAAACTGGAAGGACTGGTAGTTCCTTCATTAAATTAGGATTTAGTGAATGCCTACTCTATGAGAGGCAGTGTGGTGTACCTGCTAGGGAGCTGGCTTTGGAATTAGGAAGACTGGGATTCAAGTCTACTGCTGACCCATACTAGCTATGTGATCCTAGAAAAATCATTAAAATCATTAAGCTTCTCAGTGGCTTAGGCAGCTCTTGCAGAACCCTTTGTATAATAGCTAATTATCAGTTGGGTCAGCGGAGAGAGTTCCCTAATCAGGAGTTCTTTAGACCAGTGAAATCATAGGTCTACTCTAAAACTCTATGGTAGTTATATCTTGCATTATAGTTTGTGAACCCAAACTATACAGGTTTATAGACTCTGATGCAAAAAAATACTTCAAAAAGATTATTATGGTTTTGTTGGAAGGATGAGACATATATAGTGTACCTGTATGAAATGAAACCATTTCTGTTAGTTTCCAACACAATCCAACAGGCATTTAATAAGTACCAACTAATTTGAGGTACTGTGTAAGGGTATGAGCATATGAAGACAAAACCAAAAAAATCTAGATGTCCCGTCCATAAGAAACTTACAAAGCCGGTGTCATCATTTTACAGGAAGGATGTGTAAAGAGTTAAGCAACAGCAAAAACAAGTTTGACAGAGGATAAAATGTGTGATTATGTGGCCCATGAATGGTAGAAGCAATAAGTATTGTGATGGCTAAAAAGCCATTGGGATGGTTGGGAAAGGCCTTGTGGAAGAAGTCAATATCGAACTGGACCTTGTAGGTATTTCTGGATTTGCAGAAATGGAAGGAACAGGACCCATAGAAGCTTAGCCAATCCGATAAATTGACCCTTTTGATCTCGTCCTACAGGAAACACTTATTTCTATTACAGTCGCAATCCTGTTACAATGTCAATGCATGCTAGATCAGATTGTTGTTCTGGGAGCTGGGTAACCAGTAAGGACACTTGTTCCCAGGTCCACTGACTTGAATGTCCTTGAGCAACAACTCCTGGTGCTTTACTGACTGTAAAATGAGCATTGGAATGGATCTCTGCACAGGGAAGTGTTCAGTATTGATAGCATCCTTGCAACTCTTTGGGCTATCTGCAGGAAATGGTTCTGTTTCTACAAGCTATGTGATTGATTGCCTCATTGTTTTCTTTAGACAAATATAACTCAACATCCTATAATGCTTCAACATGGAGAAAAAGAATTCCGTTTTCAAGAACATATTCAAAAACTGAAAAGATATATTCAGGTAACTCACTCTACTGATTTAGAAATTTTAGGGTGAACAATAAGTATTGAATTTAAACATCTAAAATAGTTTGGGACACTGGGGAAAAATGAAGCAGGAATTTTGAAATTGGTTTTCGTTCATTTATTCACTTCTGAAAGAGTAAGGGGCTTTGTCTACTGTCAGTGGTTCTCAAGGTGTAGGGGTCCATGAAGTCAAAACTATTTTCATAAGAATACTAAGATGTTTTCATTTCATTTCAGTAAGTATCAGTAGAGATAAACCACATAAACAGAAGCTCTTTGAGAGTCCTCAATAATTTTTAAGAGTGTAAAGGCATCCTTGAGACCAAAAAGTTTGAAAACTGCCAGTCTACTGTAAAGATTTTGTCTATTTTTCTTGTAGGATCCCTTCTTGATTATCAAATTATTCTTAGGAAATACTGAAAAATATTTTGATATTTTTCTTCTCTATAAGTTGTATAATGATTACAGTGACTTTTACAGTTTATTAAGATGAAATATTTACTATAAGGTTTCCAGTGTCACTGATAAAATGGCATTTTGCAATTATATACATAAAGTCTAATTTGGAGGGGGCCCTAACCATTGATACAAAGTACCAGTAGACACAGATTGGCTGTGGACCTCTCAGGTCTAGGAAGTATCTTGGTACTCACTGGGACCTCTCCTGGATGTGAATTTTCCATGGAATAGATTCAAGAAACCTGCTATGGTTCTCCACTTTCATTTCCTTCTTACAGCCTAAGTTTGATCTGGGACACTACTGGAGAATCGTCTTGGTTCCCTCTCAGTGACTTTGAACCTTTCCAAACAAGTCCTACTTAGATGGGAGCCCAATTGAATTAAAAGCCCAGATCCCATATTATAGCCTCTAATTCTTGTTGCCCTGAGCTTTAACTTTCCCGGAACATTCCCTGAAAATCCCTAGGACAAGTTCAGGCTGAAGAACTTCCCCTTGATCCATAGCAACTGCTGTTCCCTTGAGGCCAGCCTATTTAGAACTGCCCTCCTGAGACACTCTTAGAACCACTTTGGGATCCTGAGTTGCAGGCAGGGAAGCTCTAAAGAGGTAAGGACTTCTAAGAGGCCATTTAGCCTCACCCATTTTCTGAACAAGACCCCCTTCTATAATTTATCTAACAAAGGGTCATTAAATCTCTGTCTGAAGATTTCCAGTGACCGAGAACCACTCTTTCTCAAGGTGGTGCATTCCAATTTTAAATAGCTAATTGTTGAGATTTTTTTTCTGACATGAAGCCATGTTTTCATTCTGGGGCTCCATAATGCCTTGAAGGGAGCCAGCCACCCCAGAGTTGACCTATCAAGCTTCAGGAAAGTAGTAGTTGGCACTATTTCTTTCATTCTTTCTCTCCTCTGTCTTTTTCTTTTTCTTTTCCTTTTCTCCTTTCTCTCCTCAAACACAACTCACACATGTAAACACACTTCAGAGTACCCATAAATCCATAGCATCTTAGAGATAAAAGGGACCTTAGAGATCAATTCCCAGTCTAATCCCCATCCTACTCTATTATACCATCCCCCATCTCCACTTTTTCAGACTAAGTAACTTGGTTTTCAGTTAGTGTTGCCTTTAGAGTTATGAAGTGAAAAAAATGAGAGAAAGGATAGAAACCCAGCCTCGGCAAGGGTTGGATGACTGGCTTTTGTTGATGGGAGAGAAGAAATTCTTAGTTGTTGGTTGAATTAGATGATCTCTAATATGCCTTCTGAGTCTGAGATTCGGTGATAATAAACTTGGAGCCCAAAGAATATGAAAACGCTTAAGAAAAGTTATTGGAAGAAATAATTTTTCTGTGTGTATTTTGTTACTAGAGCCAAGACGAAATGGAAGCAAGTAAAACAGGAGGTTGAGAGAAGAAAAGGAGAAAAGAGAAAAGTGCTGGACATCCTATGATTTACAATCAAAAATGATAAAAATGCAAATTCAAAGAATGAGATATTCAAGTACTTCATACTATATACTGGATAGCCAAAGATGATAAAATGCAAATTCTGAAAATAAGATGCAGGAAGTACATTGTACTGTTTCAAAAATGATAAAAATGCAAATTACAAACAGATAAGCTGCATGTGTATTTATACAGGTCTGGAATTCATTCAATGCATTTGTCATGAAAGTTTAATAAAATTCAGAAGTTTGACAATTAAAGTCACTCTTTAATTGTAAACCAAGTTATATTGACCACAGATTGAAGGGTAAAATTGTGTCTTTGATCTGTTTTATATTCCTTATGAAAAACCCTCTCCTTTTCTTTTATCTAGATTTCAAAATTGGGCCCTCAAAGGTGACATCTGATGAAGTTAAAAACTAATTGAATGAAGGTCTCAGGGCTACGGTTTGACTGTGATGGGTTATTTCAGAGGAATTCCAATGTAAACACCAGACTTTGATGTGTTCTAGACAGAAACAAAGGTTTGTTAAATATACAGGGCAGTTGTTGTACAATGTATTATAATGGGTGCCCCTGGTGCAGAGCCAATGAGGAGTGCCACCTTCAAAACTGGATAGAATCAATTGAGATGAAAATTCCATATAATGGAAATGAAAATAGAAGCTACTCAGAATGGGACAAACCTGAGAAGAAACCTGGAATCTGGGGGAATTAATATTTCTATTTGCATCCATCTCTGGTTACTGGTAGGATATTGTTCAATTTTTATTGGGGGAAATCAGGGTTTTTTAGGTTTTTTGGTTTTTTTTTTTTACTTTTTTGTAAAGATGTGATTCCAATTTTTGTGGAGGAGACAGGGCCCGCCATCTGTGGATTTTAAGTGGCATACTGTCTAAAGCACTCACCAAAAGCTGGGGAGAGAGAGTCAATTGTGTGAGAAACAGAGTTGAATGGGATTAGGGATTGTGTCCATGGGATCAGCATGTGATGCTTTAAGCCTGTGAAGGGGAATCAGGTGACAAGCTGTTCACTGGGCAGTTGATAAGATGACATATATCCCCACTTAATAAACAACTCTGCGCTTCTGTAACTTCAAGTAGCGATAAAGTAGGAAGTATTCCGAGATAAAAGGTCCTCCTCTAAATGTGGTACAGCCCCAACATGTATGTTTGCTTTGTGAATGAATATATACTCTTCAGCCCAATGCCGAAGAGTAGATGAGGTATGAGAGAGAGCCTCTCAGAAAGGCTTGGCCATAATCATTCTGATTATTTATTTGTACTGTTCCTGAATAAGAGGAAATTGTGATGGTACTGAGCTCTGTTTCTGAGAACCAGTAAACTATGACTCTGAAAACCAATTCTGTCTTTGTGTGTCATTCAGGGATGAGACTGATGAGGGGATGAATTGTCAACCAAGAAGCAAGAACCTGAAAGCGAGGCCTAAAGAAGAGGAGGAGGGGGAGGCCAGCAAATGAGAGAGGAAAATAACTGAGGATGTGGGGAAATGAAAGAAAATAGAAATAAAGGGGAAAGGAGGGCTTCTTAGAAGAGAAGTTTAGGCCATTGAGAACTAGCCCTTAATTGTTGATCTAAAGAATGAATTTCTGGGAAAGGAACTGGGTTTAAATCAAAAGATCTGGGGACAGATTTAGAAAAAAAATACTCACAGGATAGTGTAGCCCTTTCAAAATACACTGTTGATCCTGGATAGAAAAACCCTAAATATGATTCTGTAAGGGATCTTAAATTAATTTACATGTGTCTGTTTTTCTGAGGGTAATATCTTATCTATCCAAGGTTTTGCAGTTTTTCAAAATACTTTCACAATTTTTAAGTCATTTGATCCTCATGACAACCTTAGCAAGACCCCAGTCTCCTTCGCCAGTCCAGGCTCTTTACCAGGGACTAATCTGGACAACAGGGATGGAGACAGGGACAGTAAGTGGAGACGGGTTCATGCTGCTGTCACCTTACCTTCCTTGAGGTCATCTGAGAACAGGAGGGAGTTTTCAGAATGGGATTTTGGGACATATTTTTTTTTTTTAGTGATTTGTTTACTAGTTAGTTAATGTCAATCCATAAGTATTAAGTACCTCCCACATGCCAAGCACTGTGGTAGTGATGGGAATACAGATACAAAGAATGAAAGAACTGCTACTCACAATGAAGTTTACATTATAATGAGGGAGAGAAGTACACGATAAGAATATGTAAAGTTAATAAATACACATGTGAACTTAAAATGCAGAGTGTCGCAAAATTCTCAGTTCAGTTTTAAGCTCACATGGCTTTAAGATGTTTATTACACCCTGTATGTAAAAGATATACACACATATGCATATATATATATATATATATATGTTTACATAAAGTAGTTATATAGAAGGTAGTTTGGGAGGGAGGGCAGTGGTAGAGGGTGGTTAAGAAAGGCTTCATTCAGAAAACAGTACTTGAAATAAGTCTTAGAAGGAAGAGAGGGACCCCCATGAGGGCTGGAGGCAAGGAGGGGAGAGCATGATAGGGAGGAGGGACAACTGCAAAGCTTCCTATCTATATACACTCAAACAAATTTCCATGAATAAGGTACCCTAAGTTTTCAGTCGCTCCACCTTAAGTCTCTACCAGATTCTTTGTCTATTCATTCTCATTCACTTCTGTCTTATGTGGCCATAGTCTTATAGTCTGGTTCTGCTTTTTTTCATTTCTTAAAAAAAATGAGAACCATATTTGATGAAGATCCTCCTAAGATTCACATCCTCACTTTGTTAAATAGCACATAACCTCCTAAGGTGTCTTCCAGCTCTAAATGTATGTGCTTACGCTGGACATAATTTAACAGATAGCTGATAAGAGTGCTGGACCTGGGAATCGGGAAGCCCTGAGTTCAAATTCTTTCTCATCTGCCTTGTAAGCCTGGGTAAATCACTTAACCTCTCTCAGCCTCAGTTTTCTCATCTGTACCTCCCTGATAGGGTTGTTGTGAAGATCAAATGAATTAATATATGGAGCATTTTGCAAATTTTAAAGTATTTTAAAATAAGTAATTCAGTTTAATATTAAACACTAATACAAATTTGTTTTGTGACTTTATCCTCAAATTCATTTCTTGTAATATATATGCATATATATACATACATATGTACATATATATGCATATATATACATACATATGTACATACATACATACACACACACATATATATATATTGCCACTTCTGTTAAACTTGACATCAGGATTGCTTATTTCTCCATTCATTCTTAATGACTTTTCCTCTGGTCTTGGTTAGTTTGTAATCTTTTCTTTTTGGCTGTTTTCCTTTTGCATTATTTCCGGTCTTTCTAGATTTCTTTCTATTCCACACAATTGTCTGTCTTGAGAGCATTATTGCATGTCGTTCCATCATTATACCTCTAACTATCCATTCCCCTATTGTCAGCCATGTAGGTTGCTCCTAGTTTTTCATTATTACACATAATGCTACCAATGAAAATCTTTGAACACAAGACTTTTTTGGTTTATTTGTTTTTTGGTGAGGCAATCGGGGTTAAGTGACTTGCCCAGGGTCACACAGCAAGTAAGTGTCAAATGTCTGAGGCCGGATTTGAACTCGGGTCCTCCTGACTCCAAGGCCAGATCTCTATTCACTATGCCACCTAGCTACCTCCTTTGGTTTTATTTCTGATAGCATGTTGAGGGCATATTCCCAGTGACGGCGTCATGAGGTGAAAGGCAAATGCTCAAGGCAAAAGGTGAAAATGCATTATTTCCAGAACACAAATCAATAGTTTGAATTGAATAATAATACACACAAGCAGTTTATAAAACTAAATGCAAACAGAAAAACAATGTATTAAAGAAATTGGAAGAAAAACAATAGTTCATTGAAAAGACAATCCCACCTATCAAAATAAGTGGGATACATCTAAGAAGTTGCTCTTGGAGACATTTATCTCAACAAGTGCATGTGTTCTGGAGAGAGATGTATCTGTGATTTCACTAGTATTGAGAAATTCCAAGGAAGGAAGCCCTTTCTACCAATGCAGATTAGCAGTTTCTCTGCAGTTTATAGTTAAAATGCCTAGAGCAGGTATCAGTGGTGCAGTGATTTGCCAGGGGACACACAGTATTTGTCAAGAGACTGGATATAGATCCAGGTCTTCCTGGCTTGGAGGCCAGATTTCTAGACAATGTATCACGGGTACCTCACTAAGTATTCACATTAATGAGGGGAAAAAAATAGGGAAAATGCATGAACTAAACTTATTCCTAAAGGAACTAGAAAAGGATCATGTCAATAATGCAAAGTTGAAAATTGAAAGAAAATAAAGTTAAAAGAAATAAATGGAATGGAATGTGCTTTTGAGCATGCCTCAAGAGGCAGTGATTCAAGGGTCTTATGGGGGAAGGCACAGTCTCCCTTAGCATTGGAGACTGACCTTCACTCTCAAACTGGCTCCATCTACCTTCTAGACTTGGGTAATGAAGAAGGCAGAGAGAAGAGGGAGGAATTTGGAGTTACTGGAGGATCAAATGGAAGGTGGATGGTTTGAATGAACCATGTACAACCATAGACAACCTCTGTCTCTCTGTCTCTGTCTGTCTCTGTGTTTTTGTCTCTCTCTGGAGGGCACTTGTGTGTTTGAAATTTGTTTTGTTTTTTAAGCTGCCAATTGTGATAAAACTGGGGATCAGGTCAGTTGCTAAACCGTGTTGCTGTTCGAGTGCAGCTTTGAGGGGGAGTCATTAGAAAACATCCTCGGGATAGGGAGGGGGGGGGGGAGGGGAAAGAAAAGCTTCTCTGTCTGGAAACTCAGTGTCAAAGGAGCGAGTTATTGATTTATTACAATCACTTCGCAGGGCAGAGAATACATTCACTGCAGTTTCTCAGGGCATCAAATCAAGTCAGGAACGTGGGAAGCTGACAAGCTGGGTGAGGCAGGCATCCATCATTACCCGAACCCTCCTTTGAAAGGCGACCACTCCTTCTTATGGTTGTTCGTTGAGACAAGGCCAAGGGAGTGGTCAGAAAGAAAGCCACGGCCCAGACGAGGAGTAACCTGGCCCACAAAAAGGTGGGTGGAGTAAATAACTACCTGCTAGTTCTGCTGGCTCACGTCCACCTGTAAGCAAACACTAC